GTGTAATGCACATTGAGCTCAGCTGGAACAGACTGAAAGAAGTAAGTACCACCCACAGGTATGGTGCCAAAGCCAGTGCCAAGTGCTTTTAGTTTCTTGATGGCCCTGATCAGATTGTCTTGGCTGACACCCTGGGAGAATTTGCCCCTTCCTTTTAACACCTGTTGATGTAGTGCCTCCAGAGTTATCAGATGTCCATTCTGGTGCTCTAGCGCCAGGCAGACTTTGATAATCTGGATGCCCAATTCGTAATAGAAGTCCCCCACACCCAGCATCTCAGACCAAAATCCTTTTCCAGAGGCCAGAGGATCCACACCAATGGTTGCAGACATGTCCTGGAACTGCATACAGAACTCAGGATTCTTCCAGATCTCCTGATTGTGCTTGCTGGCAGATTCCTCCAGGTTAGTTTTGAACATGTCCAACTGCTTCGACAACTGGGCCAACTGATCCTCCACCAAGACAGTCCCTCTCTCCTTATATTTGGCCTTGGCAATCTTCTTCTTGGCAATGGCGCTGTCTCCCACCCCTAGCCCTGGGCCCGTGGGTTCCCCCACGGCTGGGACCCCAGTCTTACACGTCCTGGGTTCCCAAGAGAAAAATTTTAAAAAGGAAATTTCAGTTGGGCATGGTGGCATGCACCTATAGTCCCATCTACTTGGGAACCTGAGGTACGAGGATAGCTTGAGCCTGGGAGTTCAAGGCCAGTCTTTTAAGAAAAAAAAAAAAAAGGAAATGTCATGTGTAGTCAAGCTGGTTATGACTGCATAGAATTATTTATGAAATTTTAGTAAAATTTGCTTTAGTATTAATGGCACAATGAGTATTAATGGCACAAGTATTAATGGCAAATATATTATCAGTCTGAAGATATGAATTTTTTTTTACAACTACATAACTTAAGTTATTTGCTCTTTGAAGTGTACTATGTATTCAAATACTCTAAACTTTTTAACACTGTTGATAAAGTTCTCAAAATCAGATTCTAAATTCTTTGTGACCTTGAACTAACTTTGGAATGTACTGAGGGCCCATGGAATGTCTCAAAGGATTTGTAAAAGAGAACTATTAAGTTAGTCTTATTAATTAATTATAATTATTATAATTTATGTTAAATTGTATCAGAAATATAGCCAAATAATAAGTGATGCTAAACCCTCTTATTTATTTATTTACTTATTTTTCGAGACCTCACTGTGTTGCCCTCAGCAACCTCAAACTCTTGGGCTTAAGCAATGCTCTTGCCTCAGCCTCCCAAGTAGCTGGGACTACAGGCACCTTCCAGAGCACCTGGCTATTTTTTGGTTGTAGTTGTCATTGTTGTTTGGCAAGCCTAGGCTAGATTTGAACCCGCCAGCTCTGGTGTATGTGGTTGGTGCCCTAGCCGCCGAGCTACAAACGCTGAGCCTTTTTAATTTTTATTTTCATTTTCATTTTTTTCTGGCCAGAGCTGGATTTGAACCCACCACCTCTGGCATATGGGGCCAGCACCCTACCCTTTTGAGCCACAGGCACTGCCCTTATTTTTATTTTTTTATTTTTTTGAGACAGACCCTCACTTTGTCACCCGGGCTGGAGGCTCACTGCAACCTCTTACTCCTGGGTTCAAGCTATCCTCCCACCTCATCCTCCTGAGTAGCTAGGATTACAGTTGCATGCCACCATGCTCAGGTAATTTTTAAATTTTGAGGGTGACAGGGTCTCACTAGGTTGTCCAGGCTTGTTTCAAACTTTTGACCTCAACCAATCCTTCTTGCCTCTGCCTTCTAAAGTGCCAGGATTATAGGCATGAGCTACTGCGTCTACTCTAAACCCTCTTTAAGTTATATTTATAGGTTTGTTTATTCATAGTGTTTCACAAATCATATGAAATTCCTAAAATTTGATATGTCCATATACGGTGTTATGCATCATAATTTCAGTTCTTATCCTAAAATGTTGTATGCCACAGAAATAATCAAATTTACTTCTCCAATGCTGATTATAATGAATTCTTATCAAATCTTTAACCATGGCCATTTTGAGTCTTTTCATCCATAGATAGTTGTTTTAGTCTTAGGTGTTCCTGAAATCTTTTGCAAGCAACTATAATCCAAAAATGTTTTCATCTGCAAAGAAATTGATGGAAAGACAAATACAGGTTTCTGATAAAAATCATACCATCAAATTGGGTAAGAATTTCTGAATTCTAATGAAGAAACTGATGCCTTTGTGAAAGTGCTATCCCAAGAATAACCAGAAGAATTAAAGTACATGGGTCTAAATATACTGATAAAGATGTTTTTATGACTTTCTTGAAATTTTTCTGGTTCTTAATTTTAATGTTTTGTTTCCAGGTCTAAGGGAACTATTTTGTTTTTCCTATTAAACTATCTATACTTTATAACAAGTTGGCAATACTTTTATAAACAGAATTGAAATATTTAATTTTTCTGCCTGATCCCTCCAGAATTCAGAAGCAATTAGTAAGTATTCTTATTTTCACGGCAATATGTAACTATTTGCATAAATTCAGTAAGAATCTTTTCTCTTTATATCAACACACAACTGCAAACAATGGTTATATTGCTAAGGCTTTGACTAGAATGTACATAGAATACATCTGGCTTTAAGATTTTGTGGCTTTTCAACGAGTAAAAATGTCACTTCGAAGCAGGTCCAGAATTTAAAGATACTTTGGAGACCTTGAGAAGAGAGGAATTCACCTAAATTTATAGATGCTACAGAAGCAGCCTGATAGCGAGTCCTTGTTTTGGTTTCTTAGCTTTAAGAAGTTTTATAAAGTCCATCTGAGATCGAATATAAAAAATTCCAAGCTTGGTGCCTGTGGCTCAAGTGGCTACGGTGCCAGCCACATACACCTAAGGTGGCAGGTTCGAATCCAGCCCGGGCCCACCAAACAACAATGCGCTGCAACCAAAAAATAGCCAGGTGTTGTGGCGGGCACCTGTGGTCCCAGCTACTTGGGATGCTGAGGCAGGAGACTCACTTGAGCCCAGGAGTTGGAGGTTGCTGTGAGCTGTGATGCCACGGCACTCTACCCAGGGGAATAGCTTGAGGCTCTGTCTCAAAAAAAAAAAATTCCAAAACCCGCATGATCAGTTACTATTTTTGCCACACTTGTACATGTTATATGATGCCATAGAAACTAAACTCTAACTACAGCATTATCCCGCCAAGCCAAAGAGGTATTCCTAAGCAAGGAAAAAATTAAGAGAGGTAAAAGTCTTATTATGATGAGGAAACCTATACTGATATATAGGAAAGTTTTCAGGCCATGAGATTAGAAGTATTTTATGAACAACAGAAAAATAATCACACTAAATCTTCAGTAGAAATGGGGTAATTGTAGAGAAAAAAAGTATGTTTCAAAATAAAAGTAGAATATGCCTGTTATTAGATTATATCCCTGTCCATTGTTTTTGAGGTTTTATTATCTACCTGCAGGCTAAACTGGATCCTGAATTCTAGATTCCTCCAATCTAATCTTCTCCTACTTTTCTCACTTGAAATCACTAACAACAGAACTACTGTGCTCCAGGAGCCCTATATACTGAAGGTGGACAGCTCAATGTAAATTTCAAAGGACAAACCTTATGCCTGATGTGTGGGCCACTCAGTAAGTCCACCATATACAAAGGTTGCTGATTTGTGGACACTGATTTTATATCCTGAGACAGTACTGTATTGTTTTTTATCATTTCCAGAAGTCCTGTGGTTCAGTCTTTGGGGTTCTCTAAGTATAAGATCATATCGTTGTGAAAAAGGGAGAGCTTCACTTCCTCTGCCCCCATTTGGATGCCCTTTATTATCTTCTCTTGCCTGACTGTATGGGCAAGAACTTCTAGCACTATGTTGAATACTAGTAGTGATAGAGGACAACTTTGGTCCATTTCTAAGTGGAAAAGCTTTCAGTTTTACTCCATTCAGTAAAATATGGGCTGTGGGTTTGTCATAGACAGCTTGATCAGTTTAAGAAATGTGCTGCCAGTGCCTATATTCTCCATAGTCATAATTAGAAAAGGATGTTGAATTTTATTGAATGCTTTTTTTGCATCTAGTGAGAGGATCATATGGTCTTTGTTTTTGCTTCTGTTACTATGGTAGATTATGTTTATGGATTTGCATATGTTAAACCAGCCTTACATCCCTGGGATGAAACCTACTTGATCATTATGTATTGACTTTTTTTTTTAGGCTTAAATCTGATTTAATAAAGTTTGTACACTATAAAATAATATCAAAAGCCTAAAAAAACACGATAAGTTTTTATATTATGTTTATAAATTATTGTTTTACATACGATAAAAAATAAGGTCAAAAGTGCAGTTTAAAAAAAAGTGGATGTTGTTATTCTTTATAAGCGCTAGAAAAATGTACTATCCCAAGTAAGAAGCAATCTAAAGGCTATAGTTTCCTAGAAATATCCCTTTCACTCTCACATAAGCTTGGTTACCATGTGCTGTAAGATAAACTAGTACGTGTACAAAGGGAGCTAAGGAATCTCTTTATAAAAATAATAGAAAACATAATCTAGTGATGAGAAACATTGGAAATAAACATAATCACAGGCTTTCTCAAAAGTGAACTAGACAGCCCTACTTACTGGAATGAATGGGCTGTCAATGAATGTGACAAAACTTGACAAATTTAAAGGCTTGCCAGAAGTTTAAATCTTTCTCAAATTTTTAGTCATAAATGGCAAAGTTGCATACATCTCAGGATTATGAAATTTTCTAATAGAACTAAGACAAAATATGATTTAAAGGTGATAAATCATATCATCTACTACTTCTCACAGAGAATAAAGACCAAGAATCCAG